CGCACTTGTAGGACCTCATCTGGGACTGACTCTAACAGAATTCTCAATGTCACGTTTAAAGGGGAATCATCCCAGGTAAACCAAATTTCTCCCTCATTTATGCTATTAAAACCCCTTGTCTTTTGCAATGAGAGAAAATGCAACTACTCAGAGATATCTAGAAACCTAGAGTGGACCAATTTGCAATCCCAAAATAACAGGGGCAGTCAGTTTGGTCCCCAGTTCAGAATGCCCAAAAGGGGATATACTAAGGCACTCCAAAAACCCAACCCCTGTGCTCACAAATTTACTAGCACTCAGGAAAGGGGAGCATGTGCTTCACCCAAAAGCTATGGTCCCTTAAGCCAGGGGGTGGCCAACCTGCAGCATAAGTGTCATGGACAGGCTCTGGACAGGGCCAGTCACAGGCATGGGCAAACTGGGTGGGCGCCTGGGGCCTGGACAAAAAGGGGGCCTTGAATATAATATAGCAACCACCCCAGGCTGAAATATGAGCAGGGAAGGCAGTTCCTTAATTAGGTCCATTCTGAGAGACATAGGGATGGGGGGTGGGTGTTAACTTAACTGCCTGCCCCACTAAAAAGGGAACAAACAAAAGGGAAGGATAGAAGGGTTTTATATCTCCACCCCTGGATGCTCACTCGCCCCTCAAGACAGCAACAGCAGGCTTTGCAGTATTTTGCCCAGGACATTCTAATTCCTGCTCTAAACATAGGCTTGAGTCATTGGTTTTCAATAAGAGTGCCTCCCCACGGGCGGAAGCCAGAACAATCAATACTCCTTACTCAGTTCTCGAAAAGGTCATTAAAAGACCATAGATATAAATTTAAAAGAGCGGTGGTTCACATCCTTAACACTGAAGATGCTCTTCACTCTCACTTCCGTAAGCAACATCATGTGAAATAGGCATGCATTGGACCTGGCTGACAGCAGGTTGGAAGGGACGCATTAGCATTAATAGTATTCCATCAGATCGAATGGAAGGCAGAAGGGAATATAAGTAGTCAAAAACTTGCTTCTATCAATGCTAGGAACGAAGCTAGTCTTGTTGACATCTCCAGATCTGCATGCGGTAATATCCATCTGGGTGCTCAGTGTTAATTTGTTTATGCGTTCGCTAGCACACAGACATGGGACGTCTTCTGCTGCCCTTAGGACACATGTCCATCCAACTCGCATTGATAACCGCAGGAAATGCAGGGGTGCATGTTCAAGTAGAGAGCATGTGAATTGCTCAAACTTCTCTTTTTGGGGGAGTGAGGGGGCCAGGCCCAGCTTACAAATCCAGGGATACTGCCTGTGCTGCAGCACTGTAGTTATTGCTGCTGCTTGAACTATTAATGAGAAATTATCTTGGTTAAGAATTTAGCTCCATTTGTGATTAGAAGATCATTGGTGAAACAAGCCTGATGTCTGTAAAAGTATTCTCTAATCGTAAAATTTTTAGACAAGATTTTGACTAATAATTTTCAACTTCTGATGGCTTTGAACAATTTGCTTTGAATATGTAGGGCCTGGTCCTATTTTCTCTTGATTAGTATAAATTTGGATTTGCTCCACTGAAGACAGTGGATTGACATTGGGAGAAAGGAAACTGGGGAAGTCAGAGACATATAAGGCCCTTGGTTTTAGTTTTTCTATTGTATGATTGATCAATTGAGTTGCTTCTTATAAATGACTGAAACATTTTAAGCAGGAGATTGAAAAGCTATAGGCTCCTGGGATAATATTTTGTTGTAGGATAATCCTTCATGCTAAAATTAATGTAACTTTTAGGATTCACTGACAAACTAATGTATTTCTGGTGTTCATCCAGATACTCACAAACATGAATAACAGACGCTAGCAACTGTAGAAAACCGAAATATTTGCAAACTGGCTTCCTTACTATTCAATCAGCTGTTCTAGTTGGTAAAACAGTAAGAAATACCACTTTTGGAGTGGTTTAACTCAATTGAGTGCAGATTTCCCTGATTTACACAACTGTGGGAACAGAATCAGACTCGTGTCTTTTAAATGTGTATTCTATACATTACCAACTGTAGTTATTTTGCAGTTAGTGTTCATAAGAAATAATTGTGTTTAAAAGTTAATTTAGAATGTGCAATGTGCATGCT